GGGTTTAGTGTTAGGGCGGGGTAAGATCATATTAAATACATACCAGTACCCTCCTTGTAACCTCAGATAAGGGGTATATGGTCCCAATTATAATGGGTATTTAGGGTCTACCAGTATTACTAGGCCAGGACGTCTGAAATTACGGTGGCGAGTTGTCAAGGAACCCTAAACCCTAAACCCTGAACCCTAAACTGCTGTGGGACTTTGCGAGTGCCCATTTCCTGGTGTTGGTGCGTAGGTAAGGGTTTGTGAGGCCAGTGGCATGCATATTCTGCGCACTTCTTTGCTTTCCCATAGGCCCCTAAGTAGTTCCTTTTTGGGATTACCTTATAGGATTCTAAATATCAACCACAAAAAGGAACTACTTAGGGGCCTATGGGTTTCGAGCCAGACAACTTCTGCGATTTGGGGTGTCCATGATTCTTGGATACGTAGAGGTTTTCGCGAGCGGCAGGGTTTCACAAAGGCCTTGTGGAGTGCGTTGAGAAGTACCACCACGACTGGAAAGGATGTTTGGGACGAGTGTGCTCCATCTTCACTGAATCCCAATAATCCCACGTAGAGGCACCATTCCTAATGATTGAGGTCCACAATTTTTCAGGCCTCAGAAGAGCTACGAAGCTCCGGTACTCACAGACCCTACTCTAAAATCGTTAACAGGGCCCACATCAAAAAGCCCCAGAGATCAATATTATCACACCCCAGTTCCAACAGCACACGCCTATACCCCCAAACCCTAAACCCTCGTCAACCCTAAACCCTAAACCCTTGTCAACCCTAAAACCTAAAACCTAAATTAATAGGCCCGCTGCTCTTTAAGCTGCGAGGCGCCGCAGAGGCACTGCCCTTCGCTGGCTCCTGGCGACACACCGCGCTCTGCTCCCAGGGAGGTCGGGACCCTTAGAATTTTTCGGTTTCGGTTGGTAGGGTTCAGGGCTTGCTGTAGGGGTTCATGTAGCTGTTTAGGGTTTGGGGTTTATAGGGCTTAGGGTTCAGGTTTGGGTTGGTGTTCTGTTTTGTGTTCTGGGTTCAGGGCTCTCGTATCCTTCAAAGGGTACTAGAGGGTTCTTTAAAGGCTTCCTGGACGGGATGCTTTAAGGTTCTCTTCAAAGGGTGCTGTAGGGTTCCATAATAGGGTCCCTCTTAAAGGATCCGTTCGGGCTTCGGGCTGTTTAGAGGTTTGGGGTTTCAGGGGCGTTTAGGGCTCATGCGTTGAGGGTTTCTTGGCTGGGGGCTTTTTACGTTTTTCGGCTTCCAGGTAGAGGCGACTTCCTAGGCTCTGCAGTGTAGCAAAAGGGTTTAGGGTTTATGCAGTGTAGGAAGAGGCCCGGGGAGATGAGGGTTCGAGTTCGAAGTGGAGCTTCTTAACTGTTCGGCATCACCCTAAAGCCCACCCCTGATACCCCGAAACCCGAAATGCCCTATCAACCCTACAAAGACATTAAAGGAAACCTTAACGGATCCCTTCAATTAACCCTCAGAAGCTTGCGCCCGAAGGCGGCTGCCCCACGCGCAGCCTTGGCCAGCAAAGCTCTGCCAACTTCCTGTTTGCGGGCCTCCGTCTTGAGCTCCTGGTCTCCGCAGTACCGATACTTATTATTGTAATTAGGATTATAAATTCTCAACACAAACATATAACTTGCCTGATTAATTCGTCAGTATTAGTACTATTTGTATAATTAATGATGTTATTAGCATTTTTGGAATGACTATCATTAAGCCTATTTCGGTTATTCCTGTTTTTAAGATAGTCTTAACGATTTTGTCATGATTGTACCGATCTGTTCTCAGGGTCCACAAAACGGCACAGTTGAGTGTTTAGGGCTAGGGCTGAGTTTACTACACGGCACTTCGGTGCTTTTTAGTTTTCTTTGTCCTGAGATACTTTGTGTGACAAAGGCATCGCCCAACATCGTATTGTTTTGGTACCTTCCTGGGGAGTAGGGTTGTGGATCTAGGTTTGGCTTGGAGCTTAAGATCTAAAGTTCAGCGACGGTGCCAGCCGGGATACATACTCTGCATGTATGTATGTATGTATGTATGTATGTATGTATGCATGCATGCATGCATGTATGTATGTATGAATGTATGTCTGCATGTCATGCAAGTATACATATAGTTATACATGTGTACACATATGCACACACATATCTATATATATATGTGTGTGTGTATGTTTGTATATATATATATTCATTTATTGATTTATTTATTTACTTGTTTATTTTTATTTATTTACTTACATACGCACACATGGTTGGTCAGAGAACCCTTATGACACCCAATACCAGTTGCGCGCACCGAACAAATATGTCAGGCTCTCGCGGGAGCGTGTCCGGCATCGGAAATACCTGCGAGCAGCTCGGATCATCCCCGTCCTGGCGGGCGCGGGGGAGCTATTATACTGGGCTTGGGGTTCGGGTGGGGTTTCGTTGGGGGATCCCAAGTCGCTTCGTTCCTCCAGTTGTGCTGTCCCACCCGAGGGTTCCCTTCAGTGTAGTTTTGAGGAGGAGCAGCTAGGAAAGGGAGTTTGGAAGCAACCTGACATCTCCTTGCTCGAAATCCTTTCGTTGGCTAGCACCAGATTGGTGTGTTCATGTGCTGCCAGAATTGTACCCAACCTCGAACTTTCTCTCCATAGTCATGCAGCATGACTGCCGCAAGCTCGGTTCAGGTAGTCAGGAAGTGCGGCCATATGCCTTCTTCCTGCTGATCGTAGCTGGTTCTGTCAGCAACGTGTTTGATAGTCGAAGCTCCCAGCCGAGGCTGCCCCAAATCCTCAACCAATCCTCAACCCTAAACTCCTAGGTCCTGAACCCCAAAATATCCGGAAACCCCGAAGCCCTCCAAACACCGTTTCAACCTCGGTCCCGACATTCCTGAAGCGCCACCAAAAGGGTCCGAAGAGGCAGTGATACTAGTCCTTAGGGCGCTCCTTCAACAAAAGTTATCGCATAGTACGCACAGACACCCTATAATGCAGGAGCCACAAATGTAAGAACCAGACTAAAACATCCCTGCCCATGTAACAGCAAAATACTAGAGTTCCTATAATAGCACCCGAATAAAGACCCACTGCTTCTTAGTCAGGTTCCTGTACTATATACCGCACAGCCGAGGCTAATGGGCTTCCGACTCTGCGGCGCCATCTGTGGCGCGCGCACGCGCGGCCGGTGAGCGCAGAACATCCCTGCTGGCTGGATGCTAAAAGGCAGCAGCTCGATGTCAATTCGAGCAAGACGACAATGAACAAACATAATTATAGTTACGATACTTCGTGAACCTTAATGGCACGCCGTTCATGGTCGTCGTCGTCGTCCTCCTCCTCCTCCTCACCTTCATCTGCCTCCGCCTACTGCGAGTAGTTAGTAGTCGTCGTCGTCGCAGAAGACGTGCGCCTCAAAGCCGTATTACAACTTCCACAAACTTGCCACAAAACCCTAAATTCACACTTGTCTTCCTAAGCCATGTAAAGCTTGGAAGAAGAGCATACTTCAACATCCCCATCGGCGAACCTTGGCAAAGTCTCTCCGGAATAACTCGAAACTTCCCCCAAAACTCGCATGGAACTTTGAAAGAACCTTCATGGAACCCCTAAAGAAACAGGGGCGCCCTGGAACAGTCATGCCTGAGCAGGTTCTGCAGACATAATTCCCCCAAAATGCCCCGGAACCCAAGGCTGCCAGGCCTGGCCCTCAAAGACGACTGAAGCAGTAATCATACATCAAAATCATAAGGAATTCCACCTTAAACGACTCACCAATCCCTAAAACCCAAACTCAAAACTCTATTACTATAATACCCTATAAACCTTAAACTCCTTTCAGCCCTATAATGAGAACCCCCAAAAAACACCATGTCAACCCCAATCGCCAAGGCTTGCCGGCTTCTTCGCCGGCTGGCCCAAAGCTTGGACCGGCCAAGGTCTCTGCCGGCGCTTCGCCGGCCGAGGCTTCGACGTGACGCTGCCTGGGGCCGGTCAGGCAGGGGCTTTTTGTGTGGCGGTTTGATAAGGGCATCTAATGATGATTGTGAGGTTCTACAAAGGCTCCATAATGACTCTATACTCATAAGGGCGCTGTAGGGGCTATAAGGGCTCTGGAGGGTTCCAGAAGAGGTCCTATAATCCTACAAGGACCCCAAAGACTTAAAGAGTTGTTCTTGTAGAGGTTTTATAAGAGCTCCATTGGGTTCTCTCTACACGGTTGAGTTTAGGGCCTGAACCCACACATGCTGCGTGACATGTCAGGGTTCTGCTCGGGTTGAGTGTTCATTTAGCCGTGCCCTTGTTTTATCAGCGGTACGGGCTGCCAGATCGACAATAATGCTATCAGACTTGTCCGGAGCTTAGGTGGATTTGTGGTTTAGGGTTTAGGCTATTCAGGTTTATGGCTGCTGAATCGAGCGCAACAGTCCGAACTAGCCATGGTAACTCAACCTTTGATTGTTGTTTCCCTGGCCTAAGCCCTATAGGCCCCCTTAGAAAGAGCTCAGCGCGACTTGAGTTTCGAGGTCTTCCGGATGCGGTTGAGGGACTTCCTGCGTTATGCAGCGAAGAATGCTGACTTTTTGCCACCGCGCTGGGATGCGGAGCCGCTTTGTCAAGCAGGGGCTTGGGTTTAGGATTTGCGGAGTTCTCGAGGGGTTCTTCATTACTGTGGGAGACGCGTTCTACAGCATGGAGTTCAGACGTTGAAGCTGGGCCTCAGAACATTTCGGAACCTGCCTGCCCCTTGTCGTTTATGATGGCAAGAGCAGTTATTTTATTGTCCAGGGGATGGTAGTACAGGACGCCGAAGCACACCCTGAGCCCCTAAACTTCCGTAAGCCATGAACCCTAAAGCGCTTGTAAGCCTAACCCAGACAAACTTGAGCCTTCAACCCCCCAAAATTCCTAGATCCACGAATCCTAAGCTCTTGAATTCTGAATCCACCATCGTCGACTAGAGACCCCATTACCAAAAAAAACCCTAAATCCCTGCACACAAAGCCCGCTGCAGGAGCCCCTCTACCTTTTTGACCCCAAGCCGCCCATGGCCCTGCGAGCGCTGCGCCCGCCGCAGCTCAGCGCTACGCCCGATTTGGCACGCCAGTGCCGAGGTGCAGCTGTGCGGTTTTGTAAAATTTGAATCCCTGAGTCCCTAAACCCTAAACTGGTTATCAAACGGAGGTTCTGCAACAAGGGATTTTAATGGTTTTATCCTCACCTCAAAAAAAGTTGGGGTTTAGGGCTTTTTCGGGTTGACAGAGGTGTCTGAGGGTCAGGCGACACACAGAGTTGCCTTACTCATCTTCATGTAGGGTTTCGGGTTGGGGACCTAGGGCTTAAGGCTTAAGGTTCAGGGTTTAGAGAGTCAGGCTAGAAATGCAGATTGCCTCGTCTAGGAGCCTTTTGATTCCACATGTTCATAGGAGACTCTTCTCGATGCTGCTATACTTGCCCCCCCCCCCCCCACAAGTGCACGTCCCGCACGTTACTGTCTACAAGTTTCCCTCTGCCTTCAAATTCCGTGCTATGGAGCAGATGGAGCTGCTGCAGGAATCACTGCAGCATGCGTGGTCCCAGAATGAACCTGTGGTGGAGCTGGAGGAAGAGACGACCTCTTAAATTGTCAAATCGTACGTTGAGGGCCTCATTTGAGGGCCTCATGACTAAGCTTCGAGCACAGGGGACACAGCTGCAGGACCAGGGGACGCAAAGGAGCGGAGCTTGACAGATCCGAAGTGTCTCCAGAACTTTTGATCCAGGCCAACATCCGACTGTCGTCTAAGCTCGTTTCTTGAAGTCTAGAGAGGCTGGCCCAGCGGAACACCAGTTCCATACATATTGTACTCTGATTCTATATTCGTATGCACCATGTTAATCCACCAGCTCGACGGGCCATAAGCTGAATTGAAATTTGTTGTGTTGCTTGTCTCATGGTCCAGGGAGGAAGTGAACTTAGACTTCAGCAACGGCAGAACGACCGCGCAGCAACATTCTGGGCAGCATGCTGAGATCGGGTATCCTGCAGCCCAGGAGCCCCTGACAGGTAAAGGCTTTTGTAGTTTAGTTTTTAGGGTTTGGGAACAATTGCAACAGGGTTTTGAGTAATGTTATTGGTAAATTATTGAAGATTCAGGTGATTGTGTGTTGGGCTTGGAGCGCAACAGCATGGCAGCGATCCAGAAGGATGTCGCAAATCCCCCATGCCTGGTGCTGCTGGTGTTGCCCTGGGTTTTCATCGGAATATGAAGATTCCCAGGGTTCGGGGAAGTTCGGGGTTGTGGATTTAGGGACGAGGACCCGGCTCCTTGGCTAGACCTCACAGAAAGCTCCAGGGCCGCAGGGTTTGAACATGTAATCTCAGCTGAGGGCAAGTGAACAGCCCTTAGTCCTCAACTCCTTCTCTAGCCTGATCGAATTCTGAGCTCTTCCGAAGAATCTCTGGAGTCTCAACCCGAAAGCCCAAGGCCTTAAACCCGAAATGCCAATCTTCTGTGCCTTCGATAGCTGGAGGACTGGCAGAAGCCCTGGCGACAGTAACGCGAGGTTGGCTACTTATTGGAGGCCCGTCTCAGAGCAGGACCTGAAGAATGCATACTTAGAGAGTGGGCTACAATATAGTCAAGCTTCAGACACCTATAGTAAAGTTTAAGTGTTTAGTGTTTAGGACATAAGAATTGTTAGGTGTTGGTTTATTTAGTTTAGGCTTCAGGTTTGGAGTTTAGGGTGTGAGAGGCCTACGATTCAGAGGTAAGGTTTGGGGGGGTTTAGCATATCGGGTTCGGCGTCGGGTAGAACTTGTAAGGACTTCGGAGGTTGGGAGGCTCTTCAAGTTGAGCCCTAGACTGCATGTCCATGGGGAATTAGGGTTTAACCCGAAACCTGGCAGGGTTTGGAGAACAAGGACTTCAGGGCTTCGCATTCGGGACTCGGAGAGTCCTCAATCAAAGCCTCGATATGAGGCTGTGGCTTGGGAAGCGGTCTTTAGTTTTTTGAACAGTGGAACAGTATAGCTGCAGGAGCTGCATTTCTCAGGGAAAGATTCCTTTCGACTGCCCATATGTAGCAAGACAACCAAGTAGTTTATGCACCGGAACACCCCCAGAGGCCCAAGCCCTCAACTCATAGACCGGGGATCGTGGAGATCTAGAGGTGACTTGGCCAGGAGCCTTCAAGGGCGTTGGGTAGTGCTGTATGGTAGGGTTCAGAGTTTAGGGTTTAGGGGTTTAGGCTGTAAGGCTTCTATTTCAGTAAGCATTCAGCATCCATGCCTAGTGCAACTATGTATAGTAATTCGGTCAGGCAGGTCCGTCTGTTGAGCTGCAGCTGTAGCCTTCAGCCAGCGCCGGGGTAGCTTAGGCTCGCGGTCTCACTCAACTTCACCTGTGCACATCCATCCGTTTAATTCGGAATCCTTTTCGCCCTAAGCCCTGAAGCATTTGGCAGAAATACGATTATATAGAATCTTCTTCCTTGAGCCCTAGGCTCATTGACCGAGCTGTCGTGCCAAGAGGTGCTGGCAGCGGCAGCCGATTTCACATCGATGCCTATGGCTGTGGCGCCTGGACACTCTGTTATCCAGCAGCGGTGTCAGATTCAGAGTTTAGGAACTTGCGAGTACCCTGCAATATAAAGACCTTCAATGCTTGGGTGTTCAGGGGCTTGGCTTGGGGTAGCGCAGCCCGTGTAGGGTGTAGGGACGTTCGTGTTTCGTGGACGTGGAGACACTACCAACAGCTCCCGCAAACCCTAAACCTTAAACTAGCCTGAAACCTGTCACCATGCGCGGTGCTCCCCAACGCTCCCAGAATCGAACTCCCCGTCATCACCGTTGACATCGTCAACATCGGGAACTGAGACGGTTTAGGGTTTAGGGCGCTTCAAAGGTTGAAGGCTTCCTAGGAAGACCCTTGTAGTTCAAGGCCCTATACGAAGCCATTATGAAACCCCATAAGGCCAACCCCATGAAACCTTCTCTCTACTTAGGAGTGTTTGCTTGGAGGGCCGCAAGCGATGGGCGCTCTACCCGCCGGGCTCGTTACCGCCAGGTTCGATTGCGCATCGAAATTTAAGGGGGTTTAAGGTCTGATAGAGTTGCCCAAAACCCTAAACCCTAAGTTTAGGGGTTCAAGATTATGGGTTTAGGGGGGGTTGGCTGATAACGTCCACTTTTCCGCCGTCAGCATCATGATGATCGTCATCACCATCATCCTCAATTCATCCTCACCATTCTTCTCATCACCGGCTAGCACAGCTAGCGACTTGACAAGGTCAAAAACATCATCATGAATCATAATTCATCACCATCATCATCGGCGTCATTTTTGCCATGGTTCTCTTCGCAGCCTAGCATTATAACTCCCTTGCTGCTGCAGCGTCCTACTCCTTTTCTGCTGCTAGGACTCGCACAACTACCTGCTGCTGTTGCTGCTCGGACACCATTTGCATGAACCCATTCTGTTCCCTCAGGGCCATTTTGGCCGAACGGCAAGAGCCAGCGATGACGGTGGCGAATCTCGATGGATGCAACTGAAAGCACTGAGCGCGTGACAAGAAATCTGCATGTCATGATTGATTAAGCATCTTGCAACTAAGACCCTGCGCACTCAACATTGAAAACAACAGTGCCCCAGAATAAAACTACCCGAAACCGTAGACAATCGGCCTCCAATCCGGTATCAATTTATTTGTTGCCCGAAATGGCGCCGAAACCCCACGCTGTGCAACAGTCCAACATCGTTTTGTTTGAAGGCACTTATAAGTTAGCCTGAAATGTATAAAGAAGTGTGGTGGGAACACTGTTCCACCACAAAACGCATGACAATAAACCACGCGATGGGATGTTTGAACTTGATCTGTTGACGCTCTGTGTATTTTGACGACTGTTATTGAATGGACTCACAACATTCCTTGCCTTTGCAGTTCTCGTAGCTATACTGGCTGTCTTGCCGAAAGATGCATGTCTGCTCGATGTGGAACGTTCATGCTACTGCCGCACCCACTGGAAAACAATTACTCTTGCTTCGCTGCAATACTCGCCATGATCATCAACATCGTCAGCGTAATTGGGGAGAGGGACTGCGAATGAAGCCGCATTCCAGGCTCGTCTGTGATGTTTTGGCTTTGAATCCGGGGGTTTATAAGAGACTCCGACCTTTCACAATTGAAAAATCCTCTATTTTCAGCCGAGTGGCAGATTCTGAGGCTCCCGACAAGCCGAAACCGCAATGTATCTGTCTGAGAAACTAGTATTGCATAGCCCTCATGATACAACAACCTACCACCCAAAACTGCATCGCATGGTTCTTCAGCGCCATTTGTCCGCTAGTCACTTTCTCTTTCTTAAACACCCCCCCTCTAATAACAAAATACATATTTTGGGCCCAATCCTCCAGAAATCATCCCTGCCCTTTAAAACCTAGTCTGAATTAGGGGGGGTTAGGGTCAAAGGTTGAGGGCCTCTGCCTGTGCGATTTAGGGTTTAGAGTTTAAGGTTTAGAGTTGATTAATTGTTATTGCACCCAAATCTGACAATAGAGATAAACAAGAAAAGCCCTAAAAATCAAACACTTTCCGAGTATCTATTGCGGAGGGACCCCCCCCCCCGTTTAATAGTAGGGGGGGTACTTGTAGGATTAATCATCGACAAGGTTAATGTTGAGCCGTGAGGTGATTTGTTTAGAGACTCCCAAATCCATCCCGTATCCCCAAAATGGGGTCCCCTACGTAAGAAGCCCCCATTACGGTTTGCTTGGGTAATCTGGGCTTAGGGATTGAGGATTGAAGCTTTGGTGCCCCTTGCACATCTGGCCACATGTCGATGTCATCGCTGGGTGCGATCGGGAGACAGATTTATCACGGAGACCCTTAGGACTACACCCATAAGACCCCACACAGTAACACTGAACCCTAAACCCTACACCCTAAACCCTGGAACCCTCATACCCAAAGCCACCTTTTGGGCGAGGAGTGATCGACATGGGTCCTGGCCGCTTCGCGTCTCCATCCCCCGTCTTTTGGTTCTCTGAGGCCCGTCTCGCCATTGAAGGGTTTCGCACTTTGTTTTTGTTGGGCTTTTTTCCTGAGGGCATGAGTTCTCGCTTGAGTTGGTTTTCGGTTTTGGGTTGTCGGAGATTGTACTGAAGCGCGTTTGGGTTTCGAAGTGGACAGCCCTAAACCCTAAGCCCTACCCCCTAAACCCTTACACCTTATACCCTACCTCCTGATGTCATCCGAAGCCCAACAAACCCTGTCGCGATCTTCGCCGTCGGTTGTCATGCATGCTTATCGTCGCACAGAGCTGTGGATATAAGCTAATCTACGACCCTAAAGCCTGAAACCCTAAACCCGACACCCCCTCCAAACTGCAAGTTTGTGTCAGGTGTTGCCTTCGCTGCTGCCAGCGCAGCGCCCGCCCATTGATTTGGTGACCCAGGTCGCGATCAATGATGCCTTTCCCTAGAAAGTTTACAGGGTATCCAGGGAGCCCAATACCCCTTAATTAAGGAATGTGCCTTAACCTATAGGGGCATTGATTTAAGGTACATTCCTTAACTACGGGGTATTGGGCTCTCTGGGTATGTAGATCGGTTTCACTTGGATGACCTGCAGTAATGGTGCGCCTAGCTGGGTGTAGACGGTTCTACGACTCTTGATCTTGGCAAATGCAGACCGTTCAGCACTGGAGCCCTTGGGGCACTCAGCCAAACGCCTAAAGGGTCATACTAGTCATATTCTATCCCTTTGAGAAGGTCTCTGGTTTTGTGGTTGGTATCGGATATATTAGAAAAGTATAAGGTGCCCTAAAAAGGGGGTTTGATCCTAAAGAGCCCACCATCTTTGGGGTTGATGAGAGAATCGTACTGAGGAGCCCTCCAAAGGCAGGTGTTTGTTATTGTGAGTTCAAGTAGGTATGCTTCAACCGCTCGAGCTCTTGTCCGTCCTGCACCCATAATCGTAGACTCAGGTTGAGAGGCTGGATTCTTGTTTATGTTTGTTTTTTTTACGGACAGGGCTTAAGGTTTAGAGTTTGGGTTTCCTGAAGGCATTAAGCACAATCAAATCTACCACTATGAACCCTGTATGTATTTGCAGAATCGAGAGGCCGGAGATCTACTTTACATTCCGCCTGGTTGGTGGCACTGCGTTCTGAACCTGACCACCCCCTGTGTGGCATTCACGCGTGCCTGGGACTGCAAATTACCTGGATTGCACCCTCGGCTTTCTTGTGTGCTTGGTTAAAGATTCCCTTAAGATTTAGCAGGTCAAAGGTTTTACGTAGTGGGCGTATCCTGCATGTAGACTATGTTCATCGAGATACCAACGACCAAGGCATGTCAAACCTCAGCGCAAGCCCGGTGTGGTACTGAATGGTGACATTCAAAAGTTAGTAGAGACATCGTTTTCTTAGCCCAACCAAGAGTGGCAATAAGCACTTGATTGCAATATCATGGCAGCACTTCCAAAGCAAGAGTATGATGAGCACTTCCAAAGCAAGAGTATGATGAGAGAGGAAATGATATGCGATGACGGGAGCAAACTTGACATCTTACTAAAGAAGCAGCAACAACAACGCTCTTGCTGTCATCACTAGCAATGTTACTATAAGGCGGATGACTGAGATGAGATCTGTCGCATTTAGGCGAAAGGTGACCCCGCTAGCAATACTGTTGCCAACCGCACTGGCAATTACAACAGTGTTAACATTCACGAGAGGCAGGTAAGGACCAAACACTAACTTTGATAACTCCAACTGCAGTAGCAACAACCATCAGACTTCTACCAATCAACCATCATAACAACAACTGGACAACAGCAATACTGTTGCCTTTCAGAACATGAATCGAAGAGCAGTCCTCAGACTCATCATAGCTTCAAGCCCGGAAGCCCTTGCCAGAACCACCCAAGTATTAGTACCTAATAAGCCTACAGCCCTGGAGCCCGGACGACTTGAACTGTCCTGAACCCATTACCTTAGACTCTTGTGAACTCCTTGCGTTTAGGGTTCAGGGTGCAAAACTCTGGTGTAATTCATGAAAAAAATGACCAAAGCTTAAACCCTAAACCCTAAACCTGCCTGCCCGAATCTGGGCTCGGACGCGGAAGCAACGGAAAAGGCCCTCAAAAAAAAAACTAAACCCTAAACCCTAAACCCGGCTTCAAGGGAACGTGGCTTATGGCCTTCGAGCGGCCTCGGCCGTGGCAGCGGCCCTGTCGGCTGCAGGGCGGCCGGACGAGGTCCATTGAGGGTTTAGGGTTTAGGGTTTAGGATTTAGGGTTCAGGGTTTTGGATGTTCGGTCGGGTTCAAGATCTTTGGGGTTTCTGGAATTAGGGTTTAGGTTTTTGTTCTTAATTAGAGCTTCAGGTAACTAGCATTTTTTTTAAATTAGGGCTTAGGTTTTTGCGTTTATATATATATATATAGAGTTTCGGGATGTAGGACTTTTGGGCCTTTTGGGGGTCCTAGACTCAGGGTTTGCTTTAGGGAGTTTGAGTTGGCTGAGGCTCGAGGGCCCGACGCAAAGGGCTTGTGGCTTGGGTTAAGGGTTTATAGGGTTTATAGGGCTTAGGGTTGAGAATCTAGGGTATAGGGTTTATAGGGTTTAGGGTTTACGGGGTTTAGGGCTTAGGCTTTATGTGGGGTTTAGGGTTTAAATGCGAGTCTGGCGCATGATTGGGGGCACGGATACTGTAAGCAGGGAGTCATTTTCTGAGTCGCTCAAAACAGCCCTGGAAGGCGGCAGCGGTACAGCGATTCGCGTGGCGCAGCCACTGCGACGAGAGCGACAATGATGAGCCGTGCGGAGAGAAAGAGGGAGCTGGTTCATGTCATGGCTCACTCTAAACCCTAAGCCCTAAACCCTATGAACCCTAAACGCTAAACCCTAAACCCTCAACGGCATGATGGGGCTGAGGGGGGCCGGGACTTTCCTAGTAGTGTGGCACTTTCTTTCTTGCGGGGTCCGGCAGACTCCTGAACAGCTTAGACCCGAGTCCTGAATTAACCCCGGCCAAAAAAGTACGTTTTAGAGTTTAGAGGGCACCCAAGCAAAAGCGGGTGCTATTCCTTCACCAAGCCCTAAACCCGAACCCTGAACCCTAAACCCTACACCCATCCGACGACTTGGTCCAGGCCTACATGAGAGATCGGAAGGATGCAGCAAGGGTTGTTCGCTATCAGCCCGGGGCCCACAGAATGGCGCGTTTCGAGGGCGGCTGAATTGTTTGGGGCTTTGGCGTTTGGGGTTTCGGGGCGCAGGTTTCCGGATTTCGGGATATTTGGGTTGTATATAGGGTTTTGGGGATAGGCCCGGCGCCCACAAGAGTAGGAGGGCCGACAGCATGCTTTGCAACATTTCCGTGATACCGGCCCTCGAGGGAAAGGACCAGTAGGTTCGGGTGCCTTTGCTTGATGGCTCCCAGCCCCTGGATTTCCCCGATGTGTTTTCTCTGTGGCAGCATCGACAAACTAAATCCTACAGTTTCAAAGCCCTCACACCCGCAGCAATCCAGAAGCCGGGTTGCTGCTAAGGAACTTTTATTCGATTTAAGGTAAATAAAAGGCTTCCTGATTCTAGTAACTTCGTTAAAGTCCTTATACAGCAACCCAAGCTTATTAACGTATTATCGGTCCTAGCAAAAGAATTGCTTGTCCGTCAAAGATGTGGGAGAATGTAGACGTTCTTTGCTGTGTTGCACCGACGGGCCGGTTTTAGTCGCACAAAACCCCCGAGAGGGGTCGAAAAGATTGGTAGGAATATCCCGTTGCCGTCTCCATAGTCATCATAGGGTGTAAGTATACACTATTGGTTGTAAGTATACACCCCAAAATCCTATATTGATGGCCCGAAACCCTAAACCCCAAACCCCCATGACCCTAAACCCTAAACCCTGATGACCCTAACCCGTAAACCCCTAAACCCTAAACCCTGATGACCCTTAAACTCTAAAACCCTAAACCCTAAACCCCTAAACCTAAACCCCTAAACCCTAAACCCTGATGACCCTTAAACCCTAAACCCTAAAACCCTAAATCCTAAACCCCTAAACCTAAACTCCTAAACCCGAAACCCTGATGACCCTAAACCCTAAACCCTAAAACCCTAAACCCTAAACCTCTAAACCTAAACTCCTAAACCCGAAACCCTGGTGACCCTAAACCCTAAACCCTAAAACCCTAAACCCTAAACCTCTAAACCT